ATCGACGAGTCATTGTGGCGCGCCCTGCAAATGAAGCTGCACATCGGGTGGCCCCGACTACAAGTGATGAAGAATCTGATCACCAACAAGAGACGGGTTGGGATGTCTCGCTGGGTGAAGGATTCTAACAAACCACAAATCGTCCCGTCGAAGACGAGCGTCCAAGAGGAGAGGGCACGCTACCTGCCGAGGATGGAAGAGGAGTATCTCCCGAATTTGGATGACGTGAGGGCTGACCTTCCCTATGCCCGTGTGGACCGCAGCCCCAATGAGCACTTCTCTTCCACGTATGCGAGTCCATATTACCTCTTCAAATGGCTTGTGAAGACGCACCCAGCTGTTATGTTAGATGTGTGGCGGGTGAATTTGGAGAAATGTACCACGGGTGAAGGAGAGATCACTCCCACTTTGCATATCTGGTGACGGCAGCCAACTAATGAGGATGCGACAGAACAAGCAAGCAGTCACTCTTGCCGCACGCGTCGTCACTGAACACATCAGCGACACCGGGCCCTTGTTTTCATCCCATTCTTCCCACTCACTGTTTGTCTTTGCTTTGCTGAACGGGACGGAAAACTATGACGGACTCAAGCCATGGATGAAGCGGCTGGACAAAGACATCATGCTCCTACAGCGCGGATTTCAGGCTTACATTAAAGGGAAGCTGTGGACGGTCTCTTTATCTTGGGTGACCAGGTGCGGGAGACACGGACATAGTTGATATGTCTCTGGTCTTGTTGTGTCGTCTCAGAAATGGATCGGACTGATTCTCGGTCTCGCCGGGTCTGCGGCCGCCAATCCTTGCCAGCGGTGCTATGCAAATGTAAAGCACTTGAACAGCGGCTTCATGACTACATACTGGTTGGGGTCTCTAATCGAGCGCCGCAATGTGGAGGAGCTGAGAGGGCCAACACGGAATGTGGTGATGATGACTCAGAGGGCCTCTGAGGTCCTGGCGTGTAATTGCCCACACGCAGACCGCCACAAGCACAGGACGAAATGCAATCTTGAGCGTCGTGGGCAGATTCGCAAACCATTGCTCACGAGCGTCCCGCTTTCGAACTACCCTCCAGACATCTTGCATATCATCCTGAGGTCCGACACTTGGGCGCTCATATGTCTCCGCACCACATCCTACAAGATGGTGCGCGCGTGGATCAAGGCCAATCCTGGGAAGCGGTCAGATGCACTTCGTGTTATCCGAAGACTTCACGGTGAGTCCCGCCAGATGCTGGTACAATATCATATGTTTGCTGTCGTGCAGCGCTGTGTGACAGACTCAAACTGCCTGTCAACCTCATGCCGGTCCTCGCTGGTCGCACTGAAGGAGGTACGTTGCAAATGTGACGTGTAGTGAACACTATTGCTGGATGGATGTCTCGTCTGCAGTCCAGCGCTTACCACCAGAGGAGGGTGACGCGACCTTTGAGCAGATCAAGGAATGGGATGAGCTGAAGGAGGTGACGGATGCAGAGGTCAATGAGGTGCTCGACGAAGACATTCAAGAGCAGACTGCACAGGCTACCAAGACACAGGAAGAGGACGAGGCGATTGAGGGAAAGAAGGAGTGTATTTTCGAGGACCCGAAGGGCAAGCTGCATGCTCGAGACATCTTAATGTGGATCACAAACCTCGATCTCTTCCTCGATCTACTTACGGATGTCGGCCTCAAGAAGGAGGGAAGTGTCTGCTGTTTCTTCATTCATGTCATTCGGCTGGATTATCCGCTTTTGCTTGCGGACGACGGTACCGACCAAGGCAGAGCTGGAGACCTTCCGCGAGCACATCTGGCAGATGAAGATTGTGGGAATGACGATGTAAGCGGCGAGACGTGAACTGATGAATTTTGGTGTCTCGGTGCACGAACATGTTTTTTTGCGCCATGCAGGCTGAAATGGCTGGACATATACAAGCCATCCATGCATCTCCTGGAGTGCCACGTGTTCTTTCATCTCGCCGCCTCACTCGTCAAGGGAGACCCAGTTTTCGGTCTGTTGGGATGTATGCAGGCCCATGAGTCGATGAATCGAGAGGCGCACGTAATAGAGGAGAATCACACAATGAAGGGAGGGGGTGACAACGTCAAGGCGGAGCTCGGGATGCAGATGATCAAGCTACAGCTCGAGCGACAGATTCTCGCAGCCAAGAGTGAGACACATCGTGCCGTGCTCAGCTATGACAGCAAAGTAAGCACACGAATGATACCTGCGGACGAGTACGACAGACCGCTGCCGGACGTGCCTCTTATCACTGGCCGGTTTAAGGGACAGCAGTTCAGGGAGAAGTGGGATGAAGCTGTAGCAACCGCAAATAGGTGTGCCACGCAACGACTGGTCTGATTTGTCTATTAGAGTGAATAATTGTCTGTATGAATGCATTGACTCATTTGCTTGACGAGTGATTGACTCATTCCGTGAATACACTGTCAATCCTCCACACGCCGTACACATATTAACACGCTGTCCGCACCATTCAACTCTCAGCCCCACAGATTTGCCATCTCATTATCATCGACCTCAGGGCCGAGTTCAGCGCCCATGTATCCCTGGATGGGTGCATCTCCAAACAGCAGCGCCGCCTGGTGGGCAGCCTCGAGTCCCTCAGGACCGTCATCGTCGTGATTGGCATAGACGTCCTGGTCACGCTGCTCGTCGTCACCCCCACCGTCCTCCTCCTTACCACCACCGGCAGCAGCAGCACCTTGTGCGGCGCCAGCAGGGGCCGCCTCGGCACCCATGTCGTTTGGGTACTCGTGGGTGGACGTGAATGAGAAGGTCACCTGGGCGACGGCCTGGGAGTTGCTGGTGAACGGCTGGAACTTGAGGTGCAGGGGGTGGTCCTCATCTATGCGCACGGTACTCTGGACGAAGCAAGGCAGAGACAGACACACACACACACACACAGAGATGCATTTGAACACGCACATGAATGCCGTGCTTCTATTCCATCGGAGAATGCACCTTGCGATAGCTCCCGCCTTGGA